GTTGGTGCTGATGCTGGAGATGGGGTTGGAGCTGATGTTGGGGTTGGTGTTGTGGTTGGGGCTGGGGTTGGGGTTGGGGTTGAGGTTGGGGCTAGGACTGGGGTTGTGGTTTGGGTTGGGTTTGGGGTTGGATCTGGTGTAGCGGTTGATATTGGTATTTGGGTTTGTGGTTGGGGCTGGTGATGGGTTTGGGGCTGGGGTTGAGTTCGGGGGCTGTGGTTGGGGCTCAGGTTTCAGGCCGTGGTAGGTGTTGGGGCTGAGGTTGGGGTTGAGTTTGAGGTTGGGGCTAGGGCTGGGGTTGTGGTTTGGGTTGGGTTTGGGATTCGGTTTTGGGTTGGGGTTGCAGTTGATTTGGGTATTTGGGTTTGGAGCCTGGATTGTTGCTGGGGTTGGGGTTGGATTTGGGATTGAGGTTGCGGTTGTGGTTTGGGCTGGGGTTGAGGCTGGTGTTGGAGCTGGGATTTGGGATGGCGTTGGGGCTGGGGTTGGGATTGAGGTTGGTGTATGGGTTTGCGGCTGGGGTTGGGGCTGGGGTTAGGGCCCGGGTTGAGGCTTGCGTTGAGGCTGGGATTGGAGCTGGGATTGGGGTCGGGGGCTGTGATTGGGGCTTAGGTTTGAGGCTGCGGCAGGTGTTGGGGCTGGGGTTGGGGTTGAGTTTGAGGTTGGGCTTGTGGCTGGGGTTGGGTTTGAGGCCAGGGCTGGTGTTTGGGGATTGGGTTGAGGCTGGGGTTGAGATTGAGGTTGGGATTTGGGGCTGGGGGTAGGGCTAGTGTTGGGGTTGGGGCTGAATTTGGAGTTGGGTTTGGGGTTGATATTTAGGGTTGGGGCTGGGGTTGGGCTGGGGTTTGTATTTGGGGTTGGGTTTGGGGTTAGAGTTGAGGCTGGGGATTGTGGTTGAGGTTGGGGTTTGGGTTATGGTTGGGGTTGAGTTTGAGGCTGGGGCTGCACCTGGGTTGGTGTTGGTGCTGGGGATGGGGATGGAGCTGGGGAGGGACTAGCGTTATGGTTGAGGCTGGGGTTGGGTTTGGGGTTGGGCTGGGGGTTGGGTTGAGGCTGGGGATTGAGGTTCATGATGGGGTTTGGGGCTGGGCTGTGGGTTGGGTTGAGGCTGGGAGTTGGGGTTGAGGCTGGGGGTTGGGGCTGCGCTGTGGGTTGGGTTGAGGCTGAGGTTGGGGCTTGGGAGTGCGAATGGTGCTGGTGCTGGAGAAAGGCTTCAATATTGGAGACACCATCCTCCAAGAAGACATTAAACTGAGGTGGTGTCTGTACCTGTTGAGGTGGGCATAGAGTTGCCACCCCCGAGGCCACTGATGGACAAAACCCCCTTTCCGAGCGAGACAGCTGAGACGTGATCTTTAGGCTAAGGTCAAGTGTAGTTACTGTTCACATCAATTAGTCCTTGAGCTAAAGCAATGCTGGACTTCATCTCCTCTTGAGATTGGCTTGTGTTGGTTGCCTCGATCCAATCTCACCCATAACTGCGCATTATGGGAAAGATTGAGCTCCTGACCACCCTCTGTTGGCTGGGATCGGTATTGCAGCACTTCCCATCTGAAGTTTCACAACTGGCCCCAAGGTGACGTTTGGCAACGGAATGTCGGAATCGAGCCACCGCTCTGTGTGACAGTCTCCAGTCTGGTTCCTGAGCCACGTGGGTCCACAGTATTCCAGGGCACTCACTGCTGATGACTAGGCCGGAGCCCGATGAGCAGAGGGAGCGAACAGGATGGTAGAGGGTTAGGAGGTCGGAGAGCTGGTGGGTAGCAAGACCATGGAGGGCTTTGAAGGTGAGGATCAGGATATTGAACTGTATCCTTTGTGTGATGGGACGCCAGTGGAATTGGGCAAGGATGGGGGTGATTAGGGTTACAGATCCTAGTGCGGGAGAGGACACGGGCAGCAGAGTTCTGGATGACCTGCAGCCAGTGGAGGGAGGAGTTGGGGAGGCCGCCAAGCAGTGAGTTTGCACAATCAAGTCTTGATGTAATAGAGGAATCCTTTCTAGGAATCACAGTGTTGTTAAAGTTAGCATTGTTTTGACTTGCTGTGGTTTCTGTGGACAAAACCGCTGTGATTGCCTGTAATTAATCTTACACTTTGTCCAACTGAACATCCAGGGGGAGGGGGAGGGAAGGCAGACAGGTGGGAGGGAGACCAAAGGCATGGCCAAAGAGAAGGGTCTTGAGACCAGCCTTGAAGGCAAGTGAGGAAGCGAGGCGAAGGGACCGTGGGATGGAGTTGCAGAGTGTGGGGGCAGAGAGGCTGAAAGCCCGGCCACCGATGGTTGGGCGGGAGACATGGAGCAGCCGGAGCCCGATAAACGGAGGGAGTGGGCAGGTTGGTAGGGAGTCAGCAGGTCAGAGAGGTAGGAGGGGGCGAGGCCATGGATGGCCTTAAAGGTGAGGACGAGGATCGTGAATTCAATCCTCTGGGGGATGGGGAGCCAGTGGAGTCGGGCGAGGGGGGGAGTGATGGGGTCACGGAGTCTGGTGCCCGAGAGCACACGAGCTGCAGAGTTCTGGATGATCTGTAGATTGTGAAGGGAAGAGGTGGGAAGGCCGATGAGGAGGGAGTTCCCCTAATCGAGCCTTGAGGTGACGAATGCGTGGGTGAGGGTTTGGGCAGCCGAGGGCTGAGGCCGTGGCGGAGTCTGGCAATGCTGCTCAACTGATAAAATCATTGTAATATTAGGCCTGATTCCCCCTCCCACTCCCTCCTGCTCACTCTGCGTCAAACAACCCTCCCCCTGCCCCTGCCCCTGCTCGCTCCGCACCTAATCCTCCTCCCTGTGTGTGCATGTATGTGAGTATGTGTGTATATGTATGTGAGTATATGTATGTGTGTCTGTATGTGTATGTGTGTCTGTATGTGTGTGTGTGTGTATGTGTGTATATGTATGTGTGTATATGTATGTATATATGTGTGTCTGTATGTGTGTGTGTCTGTGTGTGTGTGTGTATGTGTGTGTGTATGTATATGTATGGATATATGTGTGTCTGTATGTGTGTGTGTGTGTGTGTGTGTGTATATATGTATATATATGTGTCTGTATGTGTGTCTGTGTGTATGTGTGTGTGTGTGTATATATGTATGTATATATGTGTGTCTGTATGTGTGTGTATGTATGTGCGTGTGTGTGTATGTATGTATGTATGTATATATATGTGTGTCTGTATGTGTGTGTGTGTGTGTGTATATGTATGTATATATGTGTGTCTGTAGGTGTGTGTGTATGTGTGTGTGTGTGCGTGTGTGTGTATATGTATGTATATATATGTGTCTGTATGTGTGTGTGTGTGTGTATGCGTGCTCCCTGGCGTGTGCTCTGATTTGATGGAACACAGTCTGACTCAGCTTCCATGAAATGTTTACGCAGCCTCAGCTTTTGGCCCTGATCTCAGTGTTGGCTCCGAGGGTATCTGGGTTACATAACCGGAAGCCAGTGTCATTGCAATCCTCAGCCCCACCTCCCAGCCCACCATCAGCTAAACCCCCCACCCTCCACCCCCCACCCCCACCCCACCACCAGCCCTCAGCCCAAGACAAGCTTTCATATTATCTTAGTTCTGAACATCTCACATTGTTTCATAGGTCTTTACTGTTAGGTGTAGGGAGCGTCTGCTCTCAGCCGCCTGCACTCTCGCCTCAAGATTTGGGTTTGAGCCACACCCATCCCCCCACCATCCCCCCCCACCACACACTCCCCTCGCTTTCAGGATATAGAGCTGTGTAGCGCAGTCCTGGGGGGGGAGAGAGAGAGAGAGAGCGTTGCATTCAGAGATGCCGTCCTCCGGATGAGACGAACCCTGAGAAGTGCTTTCAGACCTGGAAGGCGCTGGGTCAGATGTCAGGGTTATCATTAATTTTATCATCTTCAATCTCATGTGGAGTCCTATACTACAGTGTTTAGAGCCCTCACCTTGCAAGCCAGAGGACCTGGGTTCGATTCCCGGGCAGGACGAAACCTTAGACAAGTTTCCTTACTCCACACACCTCTGTTTTCGCAGCAGTGAGTAGGAACCCGGTTGTCAGTCGATTGGCGGATCGCTTTCTGGGGGTAATTAATAATCCCTCCAAAAAAAGTTGCTCACTCAATCCACGACTGTTTGCGGGGACACTGCTGGGCCAATTGCCTGCCGCGTTTTGCGCACAAAATACAATTCACTCCACATTATATTCTGTGAAGCCCTTTGAGACGCCTGAAATGTGTGATAAGGCGCCATATCAAATACAGGATTATTATTATTAAATCTCAGCCTCTGGCGACGGAGTCTCCAACAGTGAAACCGTTGATCAGGATTTACATAAGAACATAAGAATTAGGAGCAGGAGTAGGGCATTCAGCCCCTCGAGCCTGTGCCCCGCAATTCAGTAAGATCATGGCTGATCTTCTCACCTCACTCTAATTACCCGCCCTCTCCCCATATCCCCTAATCCCTCTATTTTTTAAAAATCTATCTGTCTCAGCCTTGAAGATGTTCAAGGACTGACATCTACAGTCTTCTGGGGGAGTGAATTCCATAAATTCATTACCCTCTGAGTGAAGAAATGTTTCCTCAACTCTGTTCTAAAAGGCTGTCCCTTAATTTTCAGACTGTGACCCCGGGTTATAGATTCTCCTCCCGGGGAAACAGACCCTCAGTGTCTACTTTATCAGCTCTTTAAGAATCTTATATGTTTCAATAAGATCTAAAGATTTTCAATAAGATTTACTGCTTTGATTTATCCTTTGGCAGTTTTCCCTGAAGCATCCCTTAACCTATGATGTGGGAGGGGGTGGGCGGGGGATGGGGGACAGTGACTAAGTCCACGGGTGGGTTACAGAAACTGAGTCACTGACAGACAGTGTGTGGCTGTGGGTGACGTTGGCTGATGTCAGTGGAAAGTTGAGGGCGGTGAGTTTGAAACTTGCTGCATAAATACAGCTGAGCTCAGGGCAGCTTCACACTCAGCTCATCACAGCTCAGCTCATCACAGCTCAGCTCCTCACATCTCAGCTCCTCACAGCTCAGCTCATCACAGCTCAGCTCCTCAGTCACAGACAGCCAACAGCATGGACACCAAGATCATCCTCCTTCTCCTGGTCACAGCCCTCGCTGCTCTCCACACCACACAAGGTGAGTGTCTGCTGCCTCCTGCCTCCCACACCAACCTCACTCCGTTTCTCTTCTCAATCTCTGCCGTCAAGTGGACTTGGGTTTGAGCCCCAGATCGGGGTATCTGAGCTCACAGTCCAGGCTGCCGCTCCAGCGCAGGGCTGGGGGGACACACAGAGAGAGAGAGAGAGAGAGAGAGATACTTTGTCAAAGGCTCCATCCTTCGGATGAGATATTAAACAGAGCTCCCCCCCACCTCTTTGTACGTTCAAGCCCAATGCACACTCTGGGGTCCCCCAAAGCCTTGGCTCTCACCAACCTGCGCCTAATACTCTCCGGAATTAGGTAAGCAGGAGCCCTCCCTCCAGGGAGAGAGCGCACATTCCATCCCAACTATCTATCTCTGGCATTTCCAGGTGTAGGAGGGATGGACGGAAATCTCAGCTGTGTTTGGAGACTCTTAAGCAAAGCTGATGGGTTTCCCCGTGTGTCAGACACCCGACTGGGCAAAAAATAATTCAGTTGGTCATTAAAGGGAATGGTTGCCTGTTATCTGGTGAGCGCTGTACATCCAGGAGAGAGAGAGAAATAAAAAGTGTTGTTCGAGAGAAAGAGAGAGAGAATAATGGTGTGTGTTTTTACAGGGTTTCCAGCATTCCCACCTATCTCATGTTGCACCCGGGTGGTTAATTACTTCACCAAACACCTGGGGAAACGGGTCACGAAAGTGGAGATTCAGAAAACTAATCACTGCACGATCAAGGCCGTTGTGTAAGTTTTACTCACAGAAATTTATTATTGATAACAATAATAAACCTTGCATTTGATATAGCACCTTACCACACAGTTGCGATGTCTCAACGCGCTTCACACAATATACTCTAAAGTGTTGTGACTGTGTATTTTGTGGGCGAAACGTGGCGGCCCAACTGCCCACAGCAGTGTCCCACAAACAGTCGTCATAATAATAATAATCCTTGTGCCTTATATAGCGCATTATCACGTCTTTGTGAAGTCTCAAAGCCCTTAACAGAATATACTGTGAAGTGTGACTGTATAACGCGGGTGATACGTGTGTGCGTGTGTTTATGGGGTGGTGAGCAATGAGTGACTGCGGGTTGGTTATTATGGGATGGCGGGGGTGTCTGGTTGCTAATGGGCTGTGTTTTGATGTCCGTTAGGCTTCACACAAGCAAACGTAAGCTTTGCGTAGATCCCAATAACAAGGCTCTGAAAAAGTGGCTGAAGGCGAGAAAGATCCCCATGTGAGGGTGTGCGAGCGACGACCAGGACGAGGGGAGGGGAAGGGGAGACCCCGGATGGAAGTGAACCCCAACTACGGAAAGCTCACATGTGCCACTTGCTCCGAGGCCTTCAGTCATCCAGACACACAGGCCTCTCGCCTACACCTGTCCCGAGCACCTGTACATGTGTGCAATGCAATATTTATCACCGTTGTTGGTCAGAAGTCGAGAAAGTTCCCCAGGCGACCGATGGCCAAGAGGAGTAGAAGGGAAGGGGAGACCCCGGACAGGAACTGAAGCCCAACCATGGAAAGCCCACATGTGCCACTTGCTCCGAGGCCTTCAGTCTTCCAGACACACAGGCCTCTCACCGACACCTGCCCCGAGCACCAACTGAGCACAGTGACTTGCTCAGTAATAAATAACTTATTTTTATAAATATTTGTACCTGAGTTTCATTCAATCATCTTCTCTGTGTCTCTTCCTCCCTCTCCATCTCTCCCTCTCTCTCCATTTCTCCCCCCTCTCCAAAGCTCCCCCTCCATCTATCCTATCCCTCCCCATCTCTCCCCCTCTATCTGCATTTCTGCCCTCCCTCTCTATTTCTCCCTCCCTTTCCATCTCTCCCCCTTGCTCCAATCTCACCCTCCCTCTCCGTCTCACCCCATCTCTCCTCTCCCTTTCCATCTCTCTATCTCCATCTTTCCCCTCCCTTTGGGTTGGGCCTGGGGCTGGGGCTGGGATTGAGGTCAGGGTTTGGGGTAAGGGTTGGGGCTGTGTTTGGGGTTGGTGTTCGGGCTTGGGTTGCGGTTCGGATTGGGGCTGCGATTGGATTTGGGGCTGGGGTTGGGGTAGGCTTGGGATTCGGGTTGTGGTTGGGGCTGGGGGTCGGGTTTGGGGTTGAGATGGCATCGCGAGCCAGCGAGCGGCAGGGCCTCGAAAGCCCTGGTAAACCAAGCAGGACTCACGGAAGGTAAGTCAGGCAGTGGCGGGGAGTCACAGGGCTTGTCTACCGCACGTAGAAGAAGATCTCCCTGCAATCCTTTGCTGCTGCCCTGGAGTCCTTTGATCTCCTTTCCCTCTGGCCCACCTCTCTTCTCCACAGCATCCCCTCCACCACACCCGATGTCCTTGCCCCCTTCAACTCCCGAACTGCCTCCTATTTCCGATCCTCACTCTGGTTCACCAGCCACCTCCGCTCACTCAAGGGCCAGGTGTGGGCTGCCAAACGCACTTGGCTCAAATCTGGCCTAACGGTCCACCGCCACATCTGGCTGGACCTCATCAAGAACTACCACTCCACTCTCGCCTCAGCCAAATCAGCCTTCTATTCCAGGTTAATCCTGGAGGCGAAAGGCAATCCCAGGCTCCTGTTCTCCACCACTAACCGGCTCCACTGCCCTCTGCCACACGCCTGGCAGATACTTTCCTCTGATTCTCACTGCGAGAAAATGCTGGACTTCCTTGAGTCCAAAATTGAAGGAATCCACTCAGCTGCCACTGCCCTCCCAACTTCCAACCCCTCCCTACCCCCAACCCACACAATTACCCATCCGACAATTACCCATCCTTCCTTCCACACCTTTGAACCTGTAACCCCCTCCTCTGTCTTCAACACGGTAAACTCCATGGTAAAGTCCACCACCGCTCTTTTGACCCCATCCCTAACCCTCCCCTTAAATCCCAGCTTCACTTCCTTGCCCCACTACTCGCCGACATCATTAATCTCTCCCTGTCATCTGGCACTGTTCCTTCCCCCTCAAAGCAGCCACTATCACCCCCACCTTGAAGAAACCTTCCCTCGATCCATCACAGCTATCCAGCTACCGGCCCATATCAAATTTCCCCTTCCTATCCAAGGTCCTTGAGAGAGCTGTTGCCTCCCAGCTTTGTTCTTTCATTTCCTCTCACTGCCTCCATGAACCCCTCCAATCAGGTTTCCGTGCTGCCCACAGTTGTTGAGGTTGGGGTTGAAGTTAGGACTGGTGTTGGGTTAGGGCTAGTGTTGGGATTGGGATTGAGGTTGAGATTGGGGCTGGGTTTGAGGTTGGAGTTGGGGCTGGGGTTGGGGCTCAGGTTGGGATTGTGGTTGGGGCTGGGGCTGAGGTTGGGGTTGGGGTTTGGGGCTGGGTTTGGGTTTGGGGTTGGGGTCGATGCTGGGGTTGGAGCTGGAGTTGGTGCTGGGGTTAGGTGGTTGTGGTTGTTGGTTGGGGGTGGGGGTTATTGCTGAGATTGAAGTTGGGCTTTGGGGCTGGGCTGGTGTTGGGGTTTGGGATGGGGTTTGGGGTTTGCGGCAGGGGTTGGGGTTTGGAGCTGGTGTTGGGGTTGGGGATGGGGTTCGGGCTGGGGTTGAGGTTGGGCCAAGGATTTGGGTTGGGTTTGGGGTTAAGGTTGAGGTTGGGGTTGGAGTTGGGGTTGAGGTTGGGGCAGGGGTTAAGTGTTGAGGCTGGGGATGGGGCTGGGGTTGGGGTTTTGGTTGGGGCTGGGGTTGGGTTTGAGATTGGGGTTGGGTTGGGGCTGGGATTGGGGTTGGGTTTGAGGTTGGGGTTGAGGATTGAGGCTGGGGTTGGATTTGAGGTTGGGGTTGAGGATTGGGGCTGGGGTTCTGGCTTGGATTGGGGTAGGGTTCGGGCTGGGTTTGGGGGTTGAGGCTGGTGTTAGGCTTGAGGCTGGTTTTGGGGTTGCAGTTGGGTTTGGCGTTGGGGCTGGGGTTGGGTTTGGGGCTGGGGTTGGGTTTGGAGCTGGGGTTGGGTTTGGGGCTGGGGCTGGGTTTTGGGCTGGGTTTTGGGCTGGGTTTGTGGTTGGGACTGGGGTTGAGATTGGGGTTTGGGGTTGCGGCTGGGGTTGAGATTGGGGTTTGGGGTTGCGGCTGGGGTTGAAGTTGGGTTTTTTGTTGGTGCTGGTGTTGGGGTTTGGGTTTTGGCGGTTGTGGTTAGGGGTTAGGGTTGGGGTTTGTTGCTGAGGTTGAAATTGGGCTTTGGGGCTGGGGCTGGTGTAGAGGTTGGGGTTTGGGTTGGGGTTGGGGCTGGGGTTGGTGTTGGGGTTTGGGGTTTGAGACTGAGGTTCGGGTTGAGATTAGTGTTGGTGTTGGAGTTTGGAGTTTGCAGCAGAGGTTGGGGTTTGGAGCTGGGGCTGGGGTTAGGGTTTGGGGCTGAGGCTGGTGTTGGTGCTGGGGTTGGGGTTTGGTGCTGGGGTTGGTGTTGGGGTTTGGGGCTGTAGTTGGTGTTTGGGGTGGGGTGGTGTTGGTGTTGGTTTTTTTGGCTGGGGTTGGGTTTGAGGTTGGTGTTGGGTTTGGGGTTGGGGTTTGGAGCTGGGGCTGTGGCTGTAGCTGGAGTTTGTGGCTGGGATTGGGGTTGAGTTTGGGTTGGGGCTGGGGTTTGTTGCTGGGGTTTGGGTTGGGGTTGGGGCTGGAGTTGGGGTTTGTGGCAGAGTTGGGGTTTGTGGCTGAGTTGGGGTTGAGGTTGGTGTTGGGGTTTGGGGTTGGGGTTTGGAGCTGGGGTTTGGTTTGGATTGGGGCTGGAGTTGGACCCTTTATCACCCTTCCAACCTTTCCCTCAAAATTCTCCTTATCTACCACCCCCCAAGCCCTCCCCCACCTTCATCCCCGACATCTTCCCTCTCCCTTCGCTCTGAACCCCTCCTCAACCCTGGCGATGTCAACCTTCACTTCATCCCCTCCTGCTCTACCTCAGCTGACTTTTCCTCCCTTATCTCTCCCTCCACATACACTCCACCACCCATTTCCGCGGTCACCCCCTCGACCTGGAGATCTCTCGGGTCCTCACCCTCTCATCGACAAAGCCATTTCGGACCATCACTTCATCTCCCTCAACTTCTTAATCCCTCTCCCCGCCACCACCCAACCCACCTCCATCTCCTTCCGCTCCTGGAAAAAAATCTCCCCCCCTCCCTCTCGGCTGCCTTGGAGTCATTGGAATTCCTTCCCCTCTGGACTTCCTTCCATAATGACCTATCCTCCTCGATCACTCTTCTCCACAGCTCCCTCTCTTCTACTCTTGATTCCCTCACTCCCCTCTCTTCCCGAACTGTCTCCTCCTCATACAAATCACCCTGATACACCATCCACCTCCGCTCCCTTAAAGCCCAGGCGTGTTATGCTGAGCGCACTTGGCTTAAATCAAACCTAACTGTCCATCGGCAGATCTGGCTGGACCATGTCAAATCCTACCGCTCCACCCTCGCCTCCGCTAAATCATCGTTCTTCTCCAAGACAATCTTGGAGGCTAAGGACAACCCCAGGCTCCTCTTCTCCATCAGGAACCGGCTCTCCGCCCACCCTCTCACACCCCACCCATCCTCACCTCCAATGTCAACGGCGAGGCGATGCTGGACTTCCTTGAATCCAAAGTCGAGGGGATCCGCTCAGCTGCCTCTGCCACTGCATCTGCTACACCCTCCCCATCTCTCCCTCTCACCCCGGCCCCTACCCATCCCTCCCTCCACACCTTTGAACCTGTCGCCTCCTCTCTCATCACCACCTTAACCCGCATGAACCCCACCACCTGCTCCCTCAACCCCATCCCTATCCCCCTCCTTACCTCCCAGCTCCATCTCCTTGTCCCTCTACTCACTGACATCGTAAACCTCTCCCTATCGTCTGGTACTGTTCCCACCCCATTAAAAACCGCCGTCATCACTCCTATCGTTAAAAAACTTCCTGGCCCCTTCTCTATTCCCAAACTACCATCCCACTCTAACCTCCCCTTCCTCTCCAAGGTCCTGGAACGAGTTGTTGCTTCTCAGCTTCGCTCTTTCCTCTCCCGTCACTCCCTTCTCAAACCCCTCCAATCGGGTTTCCGTGCCGCCCACAGCACAGAAACAGCACTGGTCAAAGTAACAAATGACATTCTGTCCATCTGCGCCCAGGGCTCCCTCTGCCTCCTCGTCCTCCTTGACCTCTCTGCTGCTTTCGACACCATCGACCACCCTATCCTCAACCACCGCCTCTCCTCTCACCTCAACCTCCACAACGCTGTCCTTGACTGGTTCAGATCGTACCTCTCACACTGCCTGTACTTCATCTCCTCAAACATTTTCTCCTCTAGCCCCGGACTGTCTCGTGCAGTGTTCCCAGGGCTCTGTCCTTGGTCCCCTCCTCTTCAATATCTATGTGCTCCCTCTTGGTGACATCATCCACAGACATGGGGTCAA